CAGTCAATACTGACTGAAGTACTATGTAGAACACTGCCCTAGAGAATTCTGCTACACCTATTGGTCTTGTTCTCTGAGGCTATGGTCCTGAGCCACTAAATCCAACAGATCATTCCTTCAAGGTATTTGGTTATGTCTGCTAAGTTTTTATTTTAAGGAGCATTCTGGTTGTACTTACTCCAGGACAGATTTGTTCATTCTTCTGACCGACTATGATCTATTCAATAAACTTCACCCACACAGTTATTCGAATGCGTCCATTCTGCTTTGGTCATCTTCATTCATTTTCCAGCTCTGCACACGTTGGAGCAATTGAAAACACGATGCCTGGTCCAGAGGTGCTTTAGTCCTCGGAGTGGCATCCTAGCTCTCCAGCCTTGCCCAATGCGATGTGTCCTTGAATTTCATGACTGCTGGTTCCATGGATGTAGATTGTGGATCCAAGTAAAATGAAATCTTGACAATTTCAATATTTTCTCCATTTATTGTGATGCTGGCTACTGGTCTAGTAAAGTTTTTTGTTTTCTTTTTGTCGAAGTATAATAAACATTGAAAACTCTATTCTTTGACCTTTATCACTAAGGGTTTCAAGTCCTCTTCACTTTCAACAAACAAGGTTATGCTCTCTGCATATTGCAGATTGCTAGTCTGCGTCCAGTCTTAATGGTGCCTCCTCCTTCATGTAATCCAGCCTCCCATGGTTTTGCTCAGCATAGAAATTGTGCAAGTATGGTGAAAGTATACAATTGTGACATACAGTTTTTCTGAATTTAAGCCATACAGAATTCCCTGGTTTTGTTTTTCAAATGACCGATTCTTGGTCTATTTACAAGCTCTGTGTGGACACAATTGAGTGCTCTGCAATGCCTATTCTTCTGAACACTGTCCATAATTTGTTATGATCCACAAAGTCAAATGCCTTTGCATTGCCAATAAAACAGAGGTAAAATTCTTTCTGTATTTTTTATTTTGCTTTCAGCCAAGATTCATTGGACATCAGTAATAATATGCCTCATTCCACAGTCTCCTGTGATTTTGGCTTGAGTTTCCGGTAGTTCATTGTTGATGTATTTTTTAGACCCTTACAGCTCTAATAATGGATACAAACAGTATGCCAGATGATATGATTTTGACTTTGAGACTGAGACATCTACAAAACACACATTCATACTGAACTTTAACTAGCTGTAGGTAAAATCCAAAACAGGAGAAATATTCCACCAAAGGATCCTAAGTCCACTTCTGATGGTGGAAAAATAGTTCCAATTGAGGACTGTTGAGTTTGACCTCTCCATCCAGATGTAGATGTGAAAAGGGGAGTTGAAAATGCCCGGCTAGAGCTCTGATGAGAAGTGGTAACTGAAACTGAATTAGCCTTAGGAGGAATTTAGGAGCAAAACGAGAAATGGCCAAGAACAGAATTCGGGGCAACTGAGTTCTAGTGCTCTCTTTCTCTGTGGTGCATGTAGACATAATGCAGTGCTGTGGCACCCTTTGATGAGCAGAGCTGCTTAGAGCTCCTTGCATCCCCACGTTGGGTTACATAGTTCAGCATCTCATTCACAGCACAGACACCAATCGCAAAAAATATTTTATTACTTATGTGTAAAGCCTCTGATATGTATTGAGGAATGAGCAAAAGATGTTGTAGAAATATGCTCTGGTCAAATCCCCGAAGGACCATTCAGTGTTGTTAATGAAAAGTTAACTGTACAAATAAAGCGGGGTGTGGGGGGTGACAGGTGGCTGAAGCACTCCTTGTAAATGAGAGATAGGAGGGCCAGGAGCTGGACAGGTAGAGAGGGTGGGGAATTCCAGTAGGGAGTGGAATTTAGGATAATCCAGGATTTGGATAATCTGAACACGGTGGAGAAAGCCACCTTATTTAAAACTGTGTCTCAGCATTAGTTATCCATATGGTATTAAATCTCAATCTTTTTAAGGCTCAATTTCTTTATCTGCAAAAATGGTTACAAATGATTGTTTACATCCTCATGATTATCATGAGTCAAACAAATGTTTAAGATATTTTAAAAGTATAAATAACACAGAGACATCTCAGATGATTCAACAAATTCAACTATTCAAAAACTCTGGCAATTCAAAGAATTAAAGAATTAGGAAGGTAGCTAGAAGGAATTTTAAATTTAAATAGCTACCCGAGTTCAGTAGTGATGTGCATCAATGTCTTAAGAAAAAACTTCACCTTACCTATAACTCACTGCCATTGAGTCAATACCAACACACAGGACTGGGTAGAACTGCCCACTGTGGGTTTCCAAGACTAGAACCTTCCCATCTTTCTCCCTTGGAGCAGCTGGCAGTTTCAAACTGCTGACTTGGCAGTTAGCAGCCCACCGTGTGATGCCACCACTATGGCATCAGGGCTCCTTTACCTGACCTAAACTAACCCAGAATTCTTTTATCCTATAGAATAGGTAACAAACTCCAAGCTTTAGAAGCACAATTCAAAGAGCTGGACTTGACCAAGGATAATCTTACAGAAAAATTTGAAAATCACAGCAAGACTTTGGCAAGTCAGGCAGCGCAAGATGAGTTATGGACAGCAGTTCTGGCTCTAAAGTGAGTATCCAATGAGAAAGCAATGGAATTCTGTGGCTTTGTGAGAGCTTGCATCGGCCATTCCAGAATTTCTTAAGATGGTTCTGTAAAATTCATATGAAAGCAGCATCCGACCCCTCTAACTGTACAAAGTAGGAAGAGAAGACCCACCATCAGCATCAACCCATGGCTGATTGCTGTGAGGTGAATGAAGGTCAGACAGGTCTTTACCTTTAACCTGTTCTGACACCAACCATCTCTCCCATGATACAGTCTATTTTTCTCTCTTTTTTTTTTTTTTGATACAGTCTATTTTTCTGCTGGGTTTGATAATTCACAATTATCAAAATAAGTGGCCACACAGAACTCACAGAAAATACTCATGATCACTCCACTACTACAAAGAGAAACACCAATTAAATTTTAGGGAACAAGTCCCGAACAAAAGGGGAGCAGGCTACCTACAGGCCAGGAGCCACACATCGCCTCCCTTTTGTGCACTTCACAAGAGCCACCTTGGAGAAGGAGGGGCCACTCCTTCAAGAGTGAGGAAATGGGAGGAGACCATCCACTTGAGGCTCTGCAGCATGGAAACAAGGCTGGGACCAATCAATGCCCTTCCACCCCCCAGGAATGGAAGGAGAGCCCTGCCGCAAAGTCAAGCTAAGACCAGGGGAGGGGAGCATCAACGTTGTAGAGGAGACATTGATAGTTCTGCTGGCGAGCAGGGTGGGTGATTAGGGAGAAGTAACCTCACATTGGGAAGGGATGTTTAACAATGATTGTAGGGAACCTAGGGGGACAGTGGACCAGATTTTATGTTCCTGGGTAGGAACATAAAACTACGAATAAGTTTCTACCCAATCCTCAGTGAGCCACATGAACTAAGGCCAGGATGACCTTGGATGCTGACCTTGCAGGCAGCATGGCATAACCCAGGGGCTACACCAGAAGGACTTACATAGAGACCCGGCTGAATAAACTTGGACTGAGGACTGGGGTATTCAGATGAGCAAGGAAGTGAAGCAGAGAGTGGCTGCCCAGGGCCTGGGGAAGTGGCATCATTGGACCTTGGGGGAACCCATGGCTTGGTGGGTATCTGACGGAAAGGGACTCAGAATCACCATATATGCCCCCTCGAGGCAACATGACAGGTTTTGATCTGTTGGGCAAGGATCGGAACTTGGAAGAATTGATCCAGGAAGTGCTCCCCTGGCACCAATCCCCATACTTAGGGCAAGTAGAGCTCAGTCGAATGGGAGAGCAGTAACTCATGGGCTGCAGCTCCAGGTGGAGATGTACTGATAGACTCTTTACACCGACAGTGTCCTGATGCTGTGTCACTGGGAAAATCGATGATGCCATTCGTGCAATCGCCTGATACCCCAGTGGGATGATTGACAGTGCCTTGCTTTTTTGTTTCTGTGGGTTTCTATTTTCCTGCCTTTAGTTTGTTTTTATTTGCTGGTTTTGTCATAATATGACATAATATGACCGCCAAAGGAAACCTGAGTCATGCCTATCCCATGGACAAGCAAATGGATTCTGGCTCCCACTTAACTCTAGCCCTAATCCAAAAACAGTTGGTTCTGATAACAGGGCTCTACTTGATACCTTCATGAAGAGATCACTGAAGATAAGGGAGCTACAGCAAAGTGTGGTGAAGATAGCAGATGGTGCCCAGCTATCCATCGGAATAGTGTCTGGGGTCTTAAGGCTTGTATTCAAACAAGCAGCAATCTAAGTGAGGCATCAATGAAGTCCACATGGAGGAAGCACACCAGCTTGTGTGATCCAAAGATGACAACAAAATTCAAGTATGATGAAGGGAAAAGTATCAGAGTTCAAATCTTAAATCAGAGCCAAAAAAACACCCAATATGTAGAAGGCTATGAAGGGCACTGGGAGCTCAAAACCTATCTACAGAGTATCTACAGATTAAGCCGCTGGCAGATCCCCTCTAACCACAGGCATGGGACTCCAACAGCTTTACCATCAGTTAGAGATCACTGTAATCTTGATTATGTTGGGTCGAACTTCATACTTGGTCACTTGACCTCCCTCTTGACCCAACCTGAAATTGTTATAGGTGCAAGTATTTCTTGCTTGTTCCATGACAAAAATTTCTTCCCTGGCCTTTAAAATACTGATGGTGGTCTTTTCTTTCTTACTCATTATTTATGTTTTTATCTTTGTTATTATTTTATGCCTACCACTTTATTTATTTATTGTTTCTGTTGGTTTTCCAGTGTGTGAAGCACAGAGGCGTGAGTGCATAGAGATAATAACTGATGCAAGGGGTTTATAGGGGATTTGGGGTGGAGGGTGGGAGATAGGGTGGGTGAAGGGACTTGGGGAGCAAGCAATGTATGCAGGAGTGGGGAGAGAACACTAGGACCGATTGTGATTACACAGTTCACTTTAAAGGCAATTTAACCATGAAAAAAAAGGAAAATGTTCTAAAATGGGTAATAATTGTCCAATTCTTGATATGATTGAACTATTGAATTGTATGATATATGGATTATGTGCCAATAAGACTGCAAAAAAAAAAAAGAAAGAAAATACTCGTGATTTCAGGGTTTATAAGGGAAGCTAATACGTTACAATTCAGGAACAGAAATGCTCAGAATAAAGCCTCTTCTCAGTAAGGCCTGCAGATGTGCCTCTCTCCCACTGTTTCCCCCCAGGTAGGGCCTGGTCCCTACCCTGTTCTGTCAGATGTTACAATCTTCTTTCAGTTCTTCCAATTATGAGCCCAAACGTACTCTTCCCTATCAGTAAACTTCAGCCCAAAGTCAATCAGCTCCAGTTCCGATGGTTGGTGAAGTGCCTGGGGACATGCCACTCCTCTTTTCTAAAGCACTCAGCTTTCTCCCTCACACAGTCTCCTGGATGTAGGTGGTTCAGGGCAGCAATGTCAGGGCCAAAGGTGAGCTCTACTCCTGGCTCTTCTTTGGTAGTAAGATCATCCCTTTCTACCTCTGAGATGGCTGTTTTAAGACTAGGCAAAACTAGCCAATCCCATAGTTAATGGTTCCATACACTTTATTTGCATGATTCTGTCCCACAAGACTGCCATGTACTGAAGCTATCCAATCCCCTAGTAGACCACGAGCATCTCATATTTGCATAGTTCTACCCAGTCATTTGATGGAATTTACAAAGATTATGGTTAGAGGGGACATATCAAGTAATTCACTGTTCCAATAAGTTCCAATAATGGATTCTGAAGAAATGACATTTTCTCAGGTTCATTAATTAAAAAAAAAAAAGTTAAATTTGAGAGCCTGTTTATATGCCAAGCACCACAGTGCACTCATTACAAAGCCTCTTGCTTGTCAAAGCTTTCCTTATACAAAGATGGGTAATCTAACTCCCTTGTCATTGAGGCACTTATAGTATTTCTAACATAAGGACTTTATAAAATACAACAGTTGGAAAACAAACAAACAAAAATACAACAGTTGGTTTTCCTAGTGAGTTTGTACTTCTTTCTGTTACCCTAAGAGAGTGCTTTTTATGTTTGTATATTAAGAGTGCTAGTGCTTAAGAAGTTCTTTACCTTGATTTTTTTTAGGCTGACTTCAATGGAATTGAATATTTTATACAGCTATGTCCTTGAAGTACTCATCTTCTTGCACACGCGTGTCCTTCGGAAGCTCCCGACCCTGGTGAAAAGTCTTCCCACCTTGACCTCTGTCCTTAGACGGAAAGCCAAGAACAAGCACATCAGAGATGTGTGGGAGTCTGTTCTGCAGGACTGTGGGCTCCAAGAAGGGGATATCACAGCCCTCTGTACCTTCTTTATTGCACATGGTAACAAAGCCGAACACTGCCCTGCTACAGCAAGACAGATGTACATCAGGGATGTCACTTTGATGATTACTGACATGGTGAAAAACCAGGCTTTGCAGGACGCGCTGCTGAGTGCTGTTCAGGTCATTGAGAAAGGCAAAGTGGTGAGGGCCTGCAGAGAGCAAAAGTCATCCCTAAAGGAGTTGATACCATCAGTCAAAAATTAACCTGGCTAAAAAAAAATTAAACCTGGTACCTTTCACTTCTAGCAATTACCTTGCAAGTGGAAGAAAAACATGAATGTGTAAATTTAGATATTAGAGGTTTATTTTTATCATAAAAGTGAGGGGATTGTTCAAGAAATTGAAAGGATTCAATACAATACATTCTGTATAGCCATATAGAAGAATGAAGACATTCTTTGTAATGATATGGAGTTATCTACAGGAAGAATTGTTGTTTTCTAGATGGCTGCTTGATATACATGGCTAACATGAAAATTTGGTAAAAACAAAGATATATAATCACTTGCATAACCATAAACTTGTGGAGAGATACATTAAAAAGTATTAACATTGGTTGTGTTGGAGAGGAAAATTAAGATACTAGGAGATAGGAAGGTAGGATGGAATTTTTTCACTGTTTCTGTTTGGTACATTTTGAGATTTGAAACACATGACTATATTGCTTCTTTGACAAATTAACAATACAGAGCACCTGTAAAATGGCATGAGCATGGTGTTGGAGGCACCTGACTTCCCCTGACTTGATAGTGAGGAGAGAGAATCGCCATCAGTAACCTAGGATTGATTCCAGGGCCGTAAAGGTCAGACATACCTCCTTTGGCTGCCACCAACCTTGCTACCAATGCTGAGAGCAATTGTCTCTCCCACTGGACTACTTCTCTCCTGGTTTGATAATTCATTTAAATGGCCACAAAGATGATATTCAAAATTATGGGGTTTATTATGTAAGGAACAGGTTACAAATTAGGATCAGGAAAGATTCAGGATAGAATTTTTTTAAAATCAGGGCAGCCTCTTTTCAGCCATGCCTACCAGCAGGCCTCTCTCCCTGGCCTTTCGCCTAGTGCACCTCTTAGCCTGGTCCAGCCACTGTCACCAGCATCCAGGTTCTTGATTTACCAAGAAAAAGGATTACTTTTGGAAGATATAGGGCATTGCAGAAGATTTTTATCTAGACACTCCTAAAGAGGAAGAAATCCTTACCAGCCAGCATAGCCAGCCTTGATATCTCTTGCCGCCCATACACCTACTCAGTATTTTAAGAGTTCTTGCACACTTGAGATTCTCAGGAACTTCCTGGGATGGCGAAGTATTCTGGAAAATGTAGCTCCATGATGTCGTCAGGGACTCTGCACATGCTGTGTCCAACTCTCCAGCTTTGCTCCTATGCTCTGTCTCCGTTACAGAGCTCTTTAGCTGCACCAGTAAATGTCCACTCCACCAGCAGGCCTCCTGCACGAAGGCCCTCAGCTTTCTTGCTCCAAGGACTGCAGACTGCCCTGTGACATCTTGTTCCAGTCTCCTGCTGCCATTCCTCTGCTACTGCTCTTCACCAGCTCTAGTATTACCGTTCTGGTTTCTAGATCTAGGTGGTATCCGTCTAGGGACCCTAGGTCCAGAGAATGTGCTCTACTCCCATGTCTTCTATATGGTGGTACTTGGGTCCTCCTTTTCCACCTCTGGAGTGGCATTTATTGCCCAGCAGGCTGGCAAAATTGATCAGTTCCCTCATCATGGTTCCATAAATCATATTTGCATGGTCTCACCTTATTTGCATCGTCCCACCCAATCATTTGGTGGGCCTTACAAGACTAGGCTAGAAAGGCCATGTCCAGTGACCCATTACACTGTAGGTCTCTACCTAGCATCATCTAACACATCATAGACAGCCTGGGTACATAGCTCTGTAAGCTGCTGCTAAAGGTTGGTGTGTCATGGAAGAAAGGCCTGGTGAATTATATCCATAAAGCTCACAGCCGAGAAAAGTCTACAGAGCACTAATACTCTGTAAAACACGGGGTCATCATGAGTTGTATTTTTTTGTTTAATATATATCATGGGATGCTAGAAATTATATGTTGATGTATACTTTAGGACAGTACTTTAGTTGTTTACACTAGAAAAGGAATGGTCCTACATTGACCATTTGGTTATCTTGTTGATTGAACATCTTTTGTCAGATACTAAGTGCTGTAAGAAACATTAAAATGGGGGCATTCTCAGGGGCAGTGTAATTATTGTGGCTTTTCTAGACACTTTCTAGCCTCTAACTCCCACCAAACAACCTTTTCCCTGCATCCATCTGGATAAGAAGGTGGAGTGTGGAATCCAGTCCCACAGTTGAATGGGTCCTTAGGAACAACATGTGCAATTATAGAAATCAAGGAGACAGAAAGGGCACAGGGGACTGATCTCCAATATTAGGAGAAGAGCAGTCTCGAGTTTCTTCAACAGTACGGTTTTATAGTAATGGGGCTTGCAAGCACCTTGTTAGTACATACAGTGAAATGGGCAATGTGTTAATCTTGACTATCCTGAACCCTCAGGACCCTTCAAAAGATGTGTCTGGCAAATGAGAAACAAATGATGTTAATCACTCTTTAAGACTAAAAGACAAAGGCAAGGATCCTTTAACTGTGTAGGAGACAGCTGATCGTTTTATGGAGAGTGGCTGTGAAGAATC